GTTTCCTTTATTTCATGTTCTGATGAATTTCTGTCTCTCATAGAATACTGTTAACCGTGAATTCTGAAAAACGCTTTTGATTTTTTCTACCTAAAATTATATTACTGATGTGGAATATAGCATTGTTGTTTTGCACAATGAAATCATATTAACATGATGTATCAACGAGAACATCAGTAGGAGCCATAAGGAGAATTCAAATCCGCACACTTGGTACTCCCAAGCTCACCACGCCCTAGACCCCATCACACAACATGGTGTGATGTAATGGTCTAGGGCGTGGGCATGGGAGTACCAAGTGCATGGGATTTGAATCCTCCTTATGGCTCCTACTGAATTTCTCCATGTTGATTTTCCCTAATTAAGTTATTGGTATTTCTTAACAAACTGTGTTTGTCAATTTTCTGCCCAGCACAAAAGTTCCTCTGTAGTTCATCAATCCTTATTTTTGCATTCACTACATATCCAGTCTTTGTGCTGATATTACTGGTCACCCCAGTATCCAGGTTGTTGATGTAAATTATGAAAAACAGTGGGCCCAGTACAGAGCCCTATGACACCTAACTAGTGATATTCATCTACTGACCACTCAGTTAATGCAGATCCATTGTTTTTTGTCATGATCCAGTTTAGTATGCTTTTATCAAAGCCGCATACTTCGACCTTCCACAGCAGCCTATAGTTCAGAATCTTGTTGAAGGCCTTGCTGAAGGTCAGATATACATCATATTTATTATTATTGTAAATTGCCTCAAAAATGATTGAATAAAAGGGCAATCAACTGATGAGGCAGAAATAACCCCTAGTAAACCTGTATTGGAAGTCTCTTCATCAACCTGTATTTTCTAGGCGAGTTTTATAGAATCTCGTCATTGCTACCATGAACTTTCTCACAACTGATGTCAAGCTAATTGCTTAGTATAGTACTATAGTTTGAAAAAATTATCTATTCCCTCTAATATTAGGAACACATCAGTGACCCTACAGGCAGTATTACAACCTTAGTTTTGACTAATATATTAAATAAATTGAACTCTTAAGTGGCCTACTGAGCAGCTCCTTGCATTGTTTTTAAGAGATTTATTTAGGATTGATGGAATATACAATTGTTTTGCCATAAAATAATGTTTATTAGGGTTTTGTGTAAGGTGACAAGTGGCTTACTCACTAAGTAGTTAATCTATAGTCCTTGATCTTTCCTCTGTGAGAGATGAGCATTTTGTTAGTAAGTTAAGAGTCCTTATGGGTCTACCACTGAATATGTGATCAGGAATACAGAACAGGTTCAGGTATATATAACATCTTTAGGTATCTTTAATGTCTTGTTCTCCTCCAAGGGGGCAAACATGACAAAATCTTGCACATAACCCTCTTTACATATGACCTGGACTGCTCAATCTTCCTTATGCAATAATAAGACCTATTATTTAATCCTCAACTTTAAATTTCATGACAAAAATTGTGGATACATCACTCTAGCCTCAGGAATACCTGTCTGTTTCTATTTCCTTACAAATTAAGCAATTAGGCATTCTCTGCAGATACAAAAGCAAACATTATGTACTGTATTTTTATTCACCCAATGAACCAATACACATTATATTTCTGTCAAAACAATCCTGATATGGCTGAAAATCTTCATTTGTAGCATATCACAACCATCAATCTTTGTCATATGTGTACACTCACAACATACCGTCCTAGATCAGCCACTTGTGTATTCAGGAGAGCTAGGAGGTTTGAGACTGTGTGAGTTGGCCGCAGGAGCGTAGCCGGCACATTTTGGGACAAACACAGATACAACACATTTGTATTTAATCTTGTTACTCGTCTTGCAAACTGTTGCTCACTCAACTCATTTCTGCAAAATTCACTGAAAAAAAAAAAAAAAAAATGTTCATCAGGTTATAAAAGGTTCAGACAAAAAATATTCATGAACATTCTGATATTTTAGTTGTGCAGACAAAGTTACTTATGACATTATTAATACTGTATTTAACAATAGAAAACATGCTTTCAGTAACTCAATTTCATTTCTCTTTTCCTGTAAAACCTGTCTCCCATTTTATCCCCAAAGACATTTAAAGTTAAAATATAGTTTTTATATTTAAATAAAAAAATAGGAAAGAAATTATACATAATTTAAATATATATTTAAATAATATATAAAAAGGGATTTAAAAAAATCCCTTTCTTATTCATATTATTACCCCTTTTATTACACCTTACCTTCTGTACCTGTTGCCTTGCTTTTTCTTCCTCTAAGATTTTCTTCTTCTCACCTCTCTCTTGCTATTTATTGCCTTAGCCTCCTTCCTCTCATCCCATAGTCCATGCTACATGGACATTTCATTCTGAGTAGCAAAATCTAAAACAACAACTTCCTCTCATCACAATCGACTTGATAATGGTCCAGGATGGACAGAAAAGTCGTCGTCACTTCACTTTCTAGTGTGTGGTTTGGTCACCATTTTTCAGTCAGGTTATTGTGACTAATCATCTGCATGTAAACCCTCATTACCATGGTGCAATCACTGCCTAATCAACCCTAGCTTGCTGGTCAGCCACCTCATTCATGAGAAGGGCATCATGTAAGGTCAACCATTTCATTCCTATTGGACTTATGGAAGGGCCTTCTCGGTAGCTCCCTGATGTGGCATCACCATGGAGCCTTAACAGAGGAGGCTTTCAAACTTGTAGAGAAGGTAAAATACAAAAATGGCCAAGGGTTTACCATAGAGTGGGACAGGACAGAAGCACTCAGGCTAGATGCCTCAATGCCACAAGTCAGAAAGTCAGTAACAATAAGCATGGTGTGGCTGAGGAACATTATATTGCAGAGGTCTGCAAGTGATGCAACAAGGGCATATGCCTACAGTCAACTACAGGGGGCAGACAGAGGATGCCTCTACATGCAGCAGGTGGAATGGTGACAAAAAAGAACCAGTGGCACTTAAAAACACCCAACTACAATCTGTGACGGTGCAAACAGCATAGTACAGACCAAGGTCAGCTGGAAAAACCAACACATCCAAGCTAACTTTAAACTTAGAGGTAAAGAGACCTCCCAGTTGCAGTGATTACTAGCTGCCTGTGTCACTATGGAAGCAAGTAGAGGTGCCAGGTGCAAAGGAAATGTGTTGGCCAATCGCATACCTAATCTACCCGATTAGTCTGGTAAGGGATGGTATACGTATTCTTCCTTGGATAAGGAAGAATCACCTACATGATGCAATTACTGTATGTGCCCAGCCAAAGTACAAGGCACCAAAATGAACAAGAACCAAGGCCATGAGATAATTATTCACAAGCATACAACTAACTACAGTATATTAAATCCCCAACAACATATAGTAACTCGCTGTGGAGAGCAAGTCCAGTACACTACCTAGAAGTGTGAAAGCTCATGAGGAGCTAACTTTCAGGATAGGAACACAAATTCTTCAGCGCAGGTACCTCTAATGGAACAAGGGAAGTGCAAGCCTGCTACTAAAAAATATAACCTTGGCACAAAGCTATAGCAAAACAGTAGACAGGGCATATGCAATTTGGGTGAAATTAAACATAAGTAGAACAAAAATAAAGCATTATCATCTGAGGGAATTACTGTTCTAAGTATTGCCAACATCACTTAGTGAAAAGATCAGCCTTGTTTGCCTCCAAATTTTTGTCTTTCTTTCTTTAGGCAGTAGTTTGCTTTAATTTGCTAATCTTTTTGGTAGGGGTTCTCTTTTTCCTTGTCTCAAATTTCTAATCCACAAGCATTGATCTCAGAGGCCTGGTGCACATTTCAAAACTTGGCTTCAGCAACGTGCAAGCAACAAGGCACTACCAAGTGGGCTTCAAATCCTACCAAGTTTGCAACATTATGGAACATCCACTGTGCAGTCAACACATATACATTTTGAATAATCTTCCAAATGCCTCAGGGTGTGAGGGGAGGATGGGGGGGTGGGAACCTATGCAGCTCTTTTCCTAAATGTAAAACAAGAGACCAGGAAACAGATAACAGGGTAAATGAAGCATAAAGACTGGAAAATCAGCATCCACTTTTAATGGACAATTTTGAGGTGAAGGCAATGTAGCAGACCACCAGGAGGAAGCCTAGTATGAGTTAGGTCAACAGAATCATTAGCAAAAATGCACTCATGGATGGCTGACCCATCATTTACAACATACATTATTATATATAATTTTTTGTATTAATATAGGGGTATGAAGATTTGTTTAATAATTTCCTTAATTAGAAAAGTATATGGAAATCTGAAGGTTCTCTTACCTATAACATAATTTCTTTGGTAAAGTTACATCTAGGTAAAATGCCAACGTGTTGACGAATTGAGTGAGGTAAGTAAGCCCAGCAGACACATGAAAGCCTCCGGCCTGCTCCTCTACATCAATGTCTTCAACTTCACTTCCCATGTTCATGCCTGTTAAAGAAATAAGCAAATGTTATCAAATAAACAGTTCATTTTCAAGAAGGCCTCTCTGCTTCCTGTTGAAACTATATAGCAGGCTGCAACAATGTTGCACATCAATATTAATCATTAAATGCTGTATGGGTAAGTAAGTAATTATCAAAAGAAGGCACCAAACCGGGAAGGCTATGTAGCACCATCAAATGCGCAAAATAATCAGAGGGCGCTAAATATCACCAAGGATGCCAATACGAGAACAAAAACGCATAAGGCGAACGATATCAAAAGTATCTGAGTCACCAAGAATTCTATTGAGGGACAGGGGACCGCGAGGGGCGGTTGGAAAGCAAGACACACGCTCGTCCTGGAAGTCAGGACATTCAAGAAGGACATGCACGACTGTAAGAGGGACAATGCAACTAGGACAATAAGGAGCAGGGCGGCGCTCCATCAAGTGACCATGGGTTAAGCGAGTATGGCCAATACGCAACCTCGCCAGAGCTGTTTCCCACCGCCGGTTACGGTGGAAGGAGGACGGCCACGAGGAAACACAACATTTAAGAGTACGTAGCTTGTTACCAGTAACAGACAACCAAGAAGCCTGCCAACGGGTAAGGACTGAGGAATGGATAACCGGGTAAAAGTCGAAATACGGAATGCCTTTACGAGAGATGGGACAAGAGCGGACAGCTTCCTTGGCGGCAGCATCCGCACGCTCATTTAAAGACACACCAATATAGCTGGGAACCCAACAAAACTCAACCGACTTAAATTTACTGTGAACAAGAAACAGCCAATGCTGGATCTCGACAACTACTGGATGAACCGGATTAAAGGACCCGAGAGCCATGAGGGCACTACGAGAGTCAACAACAACTACAAAGGAAGACTGACAACGAGAAAGCAGGAGACGAAGAGCATAGAGAATAGCATAAAGCTCTGCTGGAAAGATGCTAGTCTCCGGAGGTAAGCGACACATATAAGTGCGATCAGGAAAAACAACAGAGTAGCCAACACCATCCGCAGACTTAGACCCATCGGTGAAGACAGAAACGGAGCGGGAGTGAGAAGAAAAGTGCTCGAGGAAAAGGCGTTTTAGAACCGTAGGAGGGGTAAAAGCTTCAGTGATACGGGTCAAGGATGCACAAAACCGCGGAAGAGGGACTCTCCACGGGGGCAAAGAAGGAACAACACGAGGAGAAACATCAGAAATACGAATGGAAAGAGAATCCTGTAGGCGAGATAACCGGACAGAAAGAGGGAGGTGGTGAAGAGGAACAGGAACCGGGTAAAAGTTAAAGCATGACAGAGGCGAGAGGAAGAATGTTGCAAGGACCGTGCAAAATAGTGAAGACAGTAGCGATCACGGCGGTCCTGGAGAGACAGGAAGCCAGTGTCAACATACAAGCTAAGGATGGGAGTCGAACGAAAGGCACCAGAACTGAGGCGCAACCCAGTATTGTGCAAAGCATCAAGACGGCGAAGAGTAGAAGGAGAAGCAGACGAGTAAGCAGGGCAACCATAATCGAGCTTAGACAGGACGAGAGAGGAATGTAAAGCAAGGAGAGTGCGCCTATCTGCCCCCCAAGAAGTATGGGACAAGACCCGAAGGAGGATAAGGGCCTTAGAGCACTCAACACGGAGGTAAGAGATATGGGGAGACCAAGACAAACGAGTGTCAAGGAATAACCCCAAAAGCTTCGCGGAATCTTTGTATTCAAGGGAATGACCATAAAGTGGCAAAGAGGGACGAAGAACAACCTGTTTCTGCGTAAAAGTCATGGCACAAGCCTTAGAAGTAGAGAACTTGAAGCCATGATCGGTGGCCCTGCTGTATGGGTAAAAACTTTAGTACTGTACTCCATTGTCCTATTAATCAATATTTGGTCAAGTTCATTTTAGAACATAAGATCAAAAGGCATTTGTCCTCCATAAAATAAATGTCAGAAAACATAAAACGAGGATTCAGCCATTAGCTGAATTAACTTTGGCCCCTCCAAAGGGACATAATGTAATTTTTAGCAAGCAAGGCTCCACCACAGTATGTACTAGAATGTACATAAATCACATGACAGATTTTGTTTTGTTAACTAGATTTTAGCAGATAAAATATTCAGATTACTGCCTTATAAGAGCTTATTGGAACCTTGAGGATGAACCCTGGATGAGATCGATTAATGATTCAAGTCAATAATAAAAAAAAAAGTCCTGGTGCATAATTTTACAAACTTCAGTGTCGAAGTAAATTTTCTAGATACTTGATTTTTGTGTCCAGCTTATTTCTCATCAGACATCATGCACATCATTCAATAACATTTAAAAAGTATTTGAAAGATATCTATATAAAACTAAATGAATATGGAAATATAGACTTCAACATTGTGAAACACCTTTTAGAGTCTCCCTTGGATGCTTTCCAAGCATATATTGTCTATCCAAGACTTGTATTACCTACCAAGCTCGCAAAGATAATCTCCTACTGTAACAAGGAATATTTAAAATGGTCTTCATCCATTAGGGAAGTGGCGAGACATATTCACGCCACCAAGAGACCGGCTCACTATGATACAACGCCCTTAACAAGGAATGCCATACAGTATATCACTTTGCTATGAAGGAAACCTTCAAAAGCATGTAAACTAATAGTATCAAGACAGAAAATAAAGGGCATTTACTCTATGGCTACACAGCAACATTTTGATGAATAATGAGTAGCAAAAGTGTTACTCAACCTCCAGAGCCCAGTGGCCTGAATCAAACAGGAAAGCATGGCAGAGAAGGGTGTGGGGCATTACAAACTTTTTGCGATCATGTGCGCAGGGGTGAACATGAGGCTGACTAAGCTTAATCACCTTGTGCAGAGGCTGAAAAGCCTTAGAATATGATGTAAAGATGTGGAGATTTAAAATCCAAGCAACACTATGAGAGGCTCAAAAAAGCACAGATACACCAGAGCAATGCAGCAACAGTAGTGTTTGATGGACATCAGAGTGGACAAACTAAATTGGACTAAGACAAGGTCCGCTATAAAATCTGGAGACTCATTCTTAAATCATACCATAAGCTCAGGGCTGTTAAACAGTTAAAAGGTACTTTTACCACCATCAGCTGTATGTGACTAATTGTTTAGGTTTGATATAAAAAAATTTGTTTAGTTCTAACGACACAATTTTTTGGGTGAAAGTTGTTTACCTATAAATCAAGCAAGTGGTATAGTCATTAGATAAGACAGCAGATTTGCTGTTTCCCATACCTGACGGATAACGGGAGATGGCGGACTCGCTCAAGGTGTGTCATTACACGTGCAATACAAAATCAGAATACTTCAATAGTGTTTAACCTTCCATTTCATACTTATATACCATTATGAAATTATAGTTTACATAAGTAGGAGTTCAATTTACAAGTATTATAGATGAAGATTGAATAGTGGGTTTATAAAAGTTATCGTGAGATAAGACCTTCCCACAATCCATACACTGCCAGATGCAACACCTCTATGTTCTCATTCTCAACCTTGACAGATAACAGGTAATCTATGTGACCGGTATGTGTGATAACAACCATAATTATTTTCTATAATGATTCTCTATAAACATTAGTCCACATACTGTATAATCATTTACAATGATTACCAATAATAAATATTTACAAGTACTGTCTGATAAATACTGTATCTGTAATCATACCATAATTATAAGAGGCTCCACTTTAAAATCAAGTAGAAGTACTGCTTTTCAAGCTTCAGGACAATGTGAGGTAGCATCTTTATTCCCTATAAATACAGAAACTATAGCAGCAGCAAAACAGTTTTATTGCTTATATTACACATTATATGACCATATAAAGTAACATAATAAGTTCATCTAATATGTCCAAGGGCCCTGACAGCTGAATGGACAGTGCTTGGGATTCGTAGTCCTAAGGTTTCAGGTTCGATTCCCGGTGGACTTGGAAAGAAATGGGCATAGTTTATTTCACCCCTGATGGCCTTGTTCACCTAGCAGTCAATAGGTACCTGGGAGTTAGACAGCTGCTGCAGGCTGCTTCCTGGGGGTGTGTAACAGTAAGGAGGCCTGGTCGAGGACCGGACCAAGGGGACAATAAGCCCCGATATCATCTCAAGATGATCTCACGACAGATCTCACAGGATGGTTGGTCATACATGATATCAGGAGAGAACATGAAATGTAAGGCTGAACTATTAGCCTCCACTAGCAATATCTGGGCACAGCACACGAATATCTTCTAATATTCGTGAGTGTATGAAGTAGTTACAGAGCTCACAGTAACTCATTATTTGGCCTGAAATCACAGATCTAGTGTTGGAGAGTGTCATAGTTCTTGTTCACATAGTTTACAATTGGCATGTTGACCATTGGGGAAGTCATTACCTGCAGCCACCTGCCATAGATATCAATATCCCAGCCTAATTCTGGAAATTACAACGTCACACTGTCTAGTGGATGTGTAGTGCTGTCCGTACATATAGTTTTCAGTTCTAAACATGTCATAGCTCTTTATACTTGTGCTTTCTGGCCTTTGAGTGTCAGTGACTGCTCTTCTGCCATCCCCAATTTCCTGAATTTCAGGATCACAATGCAGTTTTAATTGCCTTATCTGTGTCATAATGCTGGGCATCTAGGCGAGATGATATTCATACAAATGAGAAACTCTTGCTCTTTGTATTAATAATGATGTTTATAATGGACAGCCATATACAGGACCATAGGAAAATTTAGAAGAAAAAAAATTGAGAAAAATCACCTATCGTATGGCAACACAATGGTGCAATCAGCATTGCTTTATTGTATATGATAATGTAATTTTGGGTAATAATATACTCCCCCCATTAGCCCATCATCTTTGCAAAATTTCTTTCCAAATTTGGCATTTTTGGGAAATAAATTATGGTTCTTGGTTGAATATAATTTTTCTGGTGGTTCTTGGCATTGGCATCAAGTGTGGTAAGAAAGCAGAAGCCACATGGGTGACCTGTGACCCGGTGAGCAGCCACGTGGGTAACCTGTGAGCAGCCATGTGGGTGACCTGTGACCCTGTGTGCAGCCACGTGGGTGACCTGTGACCTGGTGAGCAGCCACTCGCCAGGTCAGCCTCCTGCTCCTCCAAGTGTGCTGGGTACCAGTGACGGAACGTTCACCACTTACGTCACAGGAAGCCCAGCCACCATCCCCCTGCTATGATACCAGGCTTCACCACTTACACCACAGGAAGCCCAGTCACCATCCCCTGATATGATACCAGGCTTCACTGAGGAATGTGCACCGCTTCATACACCCAAACCGACAAGTGTGACATCATCATCATCATGAAGGGACAACAACTCCTGCCAAAGACGACAACAAATGTACAAACAAAAAGTCAGACCATTAAGAAGAAAAACAATTGGTAAAACCAGTAGCCACATGTAACAATGTAGGCTGCACCTTCCGAGGCACTCCAAGAGTCCTTGGACCGCGGATGCGAGGATGTGGCACGTGTGGGGCTCATGCTGACAGTTCAACAAGCCTTGATTATTGCCCAGCTGGTGGGTTAAGCCATTGCTTTACTCTCTTCGACAATGACGCTTCCTCTCCAGCCTGTACTTCTGCTATCCCAACTCCCCCATTGGGTACTTATCCTCAAGCAGGCAGGCAGGCAGGCAGGCAGGCAGGCAGGCAGGCAGGCAGGCAGGCAGGCAGGCAGGCAGGCAGGCAAGCAGGCAAGCAGGCAAGCAGGCAAGCAGGCAAGCAGGCAAGCAGCAAGCAACCTCTCTTCTAAGTATACCACCAGCGTGGGAGGACAAACATCCTCCCACGCTGTTGGCGAGGGAGGATGTTTGTCTCTTCGTGTCGCTATAACATATGACTTGCTATATATTTTCTCCTACTAATCTAGTTTGTTTATGAACAGGCTGATGCAGAATGGATATTGTACTTACTTGGCATAGAAAGTAAGCTAAATATCCCATTAGCAGATACATCATAAAAGCAGCCAAGAATTGTCATGCCCCTGCCTGCCATTTATATTATAAATATATTATAAATATATATTACACACACACACACACACACACACAGGGTATATTGTTGAATATGACCAAAAGGGCACGATTAATTTTTTAATGATTCTAACACGAATCTTCTCAATATTTCTTATGTTTTCCTTCACTGTCGGGGGTAGTTGAAAAATTAACTCTCCAAAGTTCCTTTTCACACTTTATTTATGGTCTGATGCCTAAAAGCATTACACAAGAACACTTCTTACATTTTCAAAGAATCTTTGAAAGTCTAAGAAGTGTTCTTACATTTAAAAAAAAAAATTGTGGTTTATATATATTGTTAATATTTATCTGCGGGGCTGAAACTTTTATTTATAGGTCTTACCAGTTCTATTTTGTAAATTTTGTTTAATTAAAAATGAACTACAGTACATTCATTTTAAAGTTTAAAGGGACTGAGGATCTTCTCTTCTGATGGAAGGGGAAGGGGGGGGGGATCTTTGACAAGCCACTGGCTTCCTGTCCTCGTCGAGGCCACTAGTGTGTTAGTGGCCCTCAGATAAATTCAGGTAATAAATTAAGTTGCTGGGAATACATTACCATAGGAACTATGTTATCATTCAGTTAATGCTCCCAATTTCAGGACTGCATCCCCAACATTAAATGAGGTATGCCTATACTCTACTGGCAAAGATGTAAATCATGTAAATCAATCAGTACATAAATACTTGAACAGAGGGAACTAAATCAATATAGCACAGGATTGTAACAATTCTTTAAATAGACTTTTGTATAAGAATGCCTTTGCGTACACTATACCCAAAGTATGTAGATCACTCAACGTTATTTACATCACAAATTTTAACAGAGAAAATATGGAGATAATTGGCAAGAAAAGTCTGGCAGAGATAAGTAGAAGATGATATAAGCTGGGATGGATGTATCTCTGTCACATGTGTACTCCTTCCCACAGGCCCCTCATATGTACACACTTACCCCACCTTGCTTTATCCTAGACCAAAGGTTACCAAGGTGAGTACCCAATGTTTTCACAAGCATAAGCATCTCAAAAAAGCTTGTGAACTATCTAGCGTTTCACATATAAAACTATAATGATACGTAATATTTTTTTTTAGGTAATTATACAGTATCAGCTAATAGTAAAGGGAAATTGTATAAACACTTTTATAAACATGTAAATTATGAGGGAAGGGAAGGAATTATCAGGGGAAAATGCCAAGCCATTACAACTATACAGCACTTGGAAGGGGCAGGATTAGGATTTTGGGATGGAACAGGGGGAATGGGGGGAGGAATGGTTGAAGGAAATGTGCCCAACCACTTGGACAATCGGGAATTGAACGCCGACCTGCAGCCCAAGTGGTTAGGCATGATGTAAATTATGAACTACCAGTATATTTTACCTACTTCATTTTCAATACTATTAGGTAACATTACTACAATAATATACAGTATTTTACTTAGTACCAGCACATCCAAACTCCCTTGGCTTGTATTGTGGGAACTACCACAAGTATTAAAATCTAATATTACTGTATGCAGTAGCATAATGGTGTGTGCAAGTGCTTATTCATCCATAATGCTATACAATACTGTACAGTGGTACCTTGGTTTTCGAATTTAATCCATTCCCAGAGATGGCTCGTAAATCGAAAAGAATTTTCCCATAAGAAATAATGTAAATTTATTTATTTATTTTATTTATTTATTTATATACAAGAAGGTACATTGGGTTTATGAGAGTATAGAGTGTTGAAGTTATATTGAATTAATCTGTTCCACACTCCCAAAAATATTAACTTCAAAATACATTTCATACATAATACACACAAATATTTTGTACTATAGTATGTACAAGTTATGGCTTACCTTTACTGATGACTCTTGCTGGCATTTGGAAGAAGGTGAGGAGGGGAGGTGTTAGTGTTTGGAAGGGGAGTCCCCTTCCATTATAACATCAGGCAGTGATGACTTCTCTGGGGTACTCTCTCCTACGTTTTGCCTGCTTACTACTAGAACCTGATTGTGGCTCACTGCTTGTTTGTCTCACAAATTTTTTTTCCACAGAGACTAGTTTTTCTTCTATGGTCATCCTCACGTGTATTTTTTTAGGTTGAACCTTACCACTGACTTTTCTTGGGACCCATGACCTGGTATATAATATTTACTTTCATGTTTAGAAACAAAAAAAAGCTGAAAAACAATTTAATTCTTTACAAAGAATTCGAACACAATCGTCACTATGCAGGACGCACTGGTAAACTGAAGTGCGGCCGCCCGTACCACCAGGAACAACACGCTCGGTCGACCCATACGTGTATCAACAAACTCGCAAAGCAAGGCAAAGCTCGTAAACCGATTCAAATTTTACGAAGAAATTGAGCTCGTAACCCGAAAAATTCATAAAGAGGTACCCTCGGCAATCGAGGTTCCACTATATATTGTTTTGTGAATTATATAATGAAGACGAAGTAATATTTTCAGTGTTATTTAATATCTATAATATTCTTTCATGATATTACTTGCCATTAAGTTTTCTGGGCTGATGCCTCTCCACTTCAGGAGAATGGGGAGCAGGGCAAGATAATGAAAATATGATTGTATGGCATGTCAGTATTCTTTGGCACTTTCACTTTATTCTTACCTTTAGATAGTTCCCCATCCCCACAATGGCTGAGGACTGTAGTCATCTACAGTACCTCTATGTTCTGTAGCTCATTCCTTGGAACCAAAGAGTTAATATTATACATTAATGTGCAAGGGAGCATGGTGTGCTAGTACGTAAAATACCTTGGTTACATTTTCAACCGATTTTGAGGAAATTGTGTTTGGTGAAAGTGATACTTTAGCTTTCAAGTGAAAGTGACCCAGAAAGTGACACTTTAGCTTTCTTGGAACCCATGATTTCCACCACTGTTTTTACCCTTAATGCACCCTTGTTGTCTGCCCTAGTACAATTGTGCCATTTAAAAACCTCACATTGTCTTGAAAACAGAAAATATATTAAAAATAACAGCTTATATCTGATAATTAAACAAATGTTCTCATTATTTTTGTAAAAGGCTTACACATTTGTGGAAACCAATAGTTCAAATTTTTATTCAAACTGTTTCTTACCGGATATCTTTCATACTGCAACATGTTACTGTAGTACACATGAAGTTACCCACATATTAGGGGTTTGTTTAAATCAGTGATATACTGAAGATGGTAAAGATTTTTTTTAGCAGTAGGTGGCCGAGGACCAATGACCGACAGAGTACAGGTGATCGTACAAATTTTGTTTTCTTCCTTGACACAAAGAAATACAATTATGTAAATATCTAGATTTGCAGCAATATTTGAATCTCTTATTAAATAAACGACATAATGCCTAGAAGATAAGACTGCAATTAAGCAAATTTACTTGAGAACTCTCAAACTTTTCCCCCTCTAGATGAGAGTGATAGCACTGATCATGTGTAGCTTGGCCCTGGCTGCTGCTAATTCCTTCACTTCTTGGGAGCTCTTCAAGGTAAGGCCATTATCGAACTTTGGTTGTTGTGCACACTTTTAGATCATGTGTTGCTCATGGTCGGCTAGATACCGAGGCACAAGCCGTTTCTACAGCTAGTGACTCGGTGGATAGTGTCTGATGCAATGTGCTGGTTTCTAGTCTCAGTACAGCTGCCAGTGCAATACTTGTGTGCCATGAATTCTATGCATGTACTGGTCCCAAAAGATTTGTACAGCTGTCAGTAACTTGCATGGCATAGATGTAATTACTTAAGTAAAATGACCTAAGTGTAGTTAAAAGATGAGAGCTACACTACATGTGTACCAGCTTCCCTATAATCTGTCATGTGATAATTTGAAGCTTCCTATGGTTTTAGCATACACAACCCTCATTTAAATTATTCTATTCATCTATCACTTCATTTGCAAAAAGAGTATTTAGATACCCTTTTCAACATCTTTGCTTTCTTAGCATAAATTCATGTCCTCTTTTTTTTTTTTTGATGATGCAGATTTAAAAATTTCAGAAAATGAATAGGTTCTTGATAACTCCACAAAATTACTGATACTGTACTTGCTTCTGAGATGCCAGTATGTATGACTTGGTATCCACAGGCTCAGTATGACCGTCACTATCTAGATGTTGAAGAGGAACATTACCGCCAAAGTGTGTTTGAAAAGAACCTGGAATTCATCAATGACTTCAACAAGAGATTTGAACAGGGAGAAGTGACATTCAACCTCAAGATGAACCAGTTTGGTGACATGGTAAGTATGCTCATAGCAGCTCAGAAGTATATATTTGACTATACATTTAACAAGTTTCATAGCCACTTTGGGTCTTTATACTGTACAGTATTAGACTGAAGATAATTACTATCTTATACTGTGATAACATTTTTGAGTGACAGACAAATTGTGAGAATACAAAGGGATTAATTTTTGTTTCAAGGGATAACATCCTAATGGTATTAAAGAATGTTAAATGCAATTAATAACTGTATATCACAGGTTTTCTTGATCCGTGGATAGGAAAGTGCATATAATTGCCCTTCCTCCACAGACATTACCTATGATTGTTTGCAAGAGCTTCAGTAACTTGATTTCATGTGACAAATCTTGCTTAACCCCTGCACTGCACACCTGTTTTTGGCAAAAGCTTCATAGTGCAATTGTTAAGGACATATTTTTGTTGTTTTTATAAATGATCAGGTAAAGTTAATGTCAAAATGTTTCCAAATTCAACTACTGTATTTTCATTTCAAAACACAAAGTGATGAAAACATTAAAAAAACATTAAAATATAGCCTACAAAAAAAAAAAAAAAAAAAAAAAGAACAACTCTCAAAACAGCATTTGTTGTTTGGCGCAGTGCAGTGGTTAATGCACCAAGATTACAGCAGAGAAGCACGCAAGTTTTATAACTATACAGCTGTATAACTAATTCAATTCCCTTCTGCATGGGGTTAGATTCTTTGGGTATTACTGGTGAGGAATGTGCACAATTACACCAAAACTTTTCTAAACCTCATTCCTTGCACTCATCAACCTAAATAAACACAGAAACTTCTAGTAATTTCTTTTAGTAATTTCTTAACATTTTATTATTTAAATAATTTAGTAATTACTTAAATAATTTCCAGTGGTGAAACATTACATCACACAAAATATTAAAAACTTGGCATGCATAAGTTGTGTACTTATGGTAAATTTGCTTAAAGTACAGTATGTGTGTGTAGATTATAGAAGTTAGAAAACCATCTATAACTTTTAATGAGTGCAACCTATTCTATTTTTAAAAAATATGCATGTTAGTTGGGTTATTTAAAGCTTGTGGTGCTTTTAAAGGTTCAACAGAAAAAAAAAGGGAAAATGACTCATACCCATTGCCTTATATGTATGTACAAAATTGTATACCGATTAGTGCAGTTCATAAAGTGATTTTATTGTATTGAAAGTTTAATGACTTGTTAATTAATCTTATTATGGGATGACAGACAAATGAAGAGTTCAATGCCATCAAAGGATATGAAATAGAACCTAGACACTCCTCCATGGCCGCACCAAGCATGGAAGAGAATGAAAAAGCAGCTGAGGTGGATTGGCGTGAAAAAGGAGCAGTGAACCCTGTTGTTGACCAGGGAATGCTAGGTGCAAGCTGGGCATTTTCTGCGGTACGTGGTCTGTCTCTTTTATATCAAAATAACCAAGTTATTAAAGTACTAGTACTATAATAAATAGGCCAGATCATGGGTGAATGGAAAGTGCATATAAATATATTGAGGAGAAATTAATACTTATGTTTAGTGTGGAAGGCAAAAAAAAATTCTCAATATTATACACAGAATAGGAAAAGATTACTATGAATAATTGAATTTAAATCTAATGTCATAACAATTTAAATCATAAACCAGTGAGAGGATCATTAAAGTAGAGGCTCGAGGAAATGGGTAAAGACAGTGAGGGAATAAAATATAAGGCTTAGAATCAATACTAAAAGTACCTTTAAGATCAATCGCATTTGACTGTCATAAGGCCAGGATCATACAGTCAGGCAGGTTGACATGCTTGCCACCATATTACAGGGAACTTTTCAACCAGTCCCTGCAGGGTTATTATAAGCGCTAAGGAATCATTGGAGATAACTCAATCCAGCCCTGGATGACCAACTGAAGTACATTCGTAAAAATAAAAAAAATAAACACCGAACTCTCCCGTGGTGTCACAAGTGACTGTCAACAGAGGGCTCTTGTTAAGTACCAGCTGGCCTGCCTGGGCACTCACACTAACTGCCACCAGACAACAGCACCATGCGTATCTTGGAGTTCACAGACCTGGAGCTCTCCTCAAACTTTCTGATTCAACAATCAGAAGATACACACAGGTTAAGTAAGTCATGAAGGGAGGGACAGGGAGTAACTTAATGATTCTGTTCAGAAGAAAAGAGCTTTTCATATTGACATATTTTTCTGAGCTATCACATAGATATTTACCTTAAGGAGCAACTATAACACTGAGAATAAAGAACTAATAGGTAATGGAAATAGTTCACCTCTGTGCAGAGTGGTGCCCAAAGAATGACAAAGATTGAAGAAACTCCAGTTCTGCACAGAAGCACATGCTGGCAGTGCAGATACAAAATCTTGGGAGAGGTAGCACTATGCAAATTTGCAGTTAGCCTCCAGAAATTCTTACCTCTGATTTAAGATCAAAAGATGACAGAAAGAAAGCTTCATGTTTACCAAGCTTTGGGACAAAGAAGGATAAACCTCAGATTAAGGAAAGGTTTGTTAGATGACCAGGATTGGATTGGAAAGGAAGAGAAAATTCTAAATGTGTTTGACAATAAGAAACCAAACATTTTGTCAAAAAACCAAGAAGGCTCTACCAGTGTAAAAGATGAGCAAATATGGAAAGAAGTTTCACTTTGTTGGAGAAAAAGAAGACTAGCAAGATTTTTACAAAGGTTTACAAAGGAATTTAAACAGCAACAAAGCACTAGAACCAAACTAGGCTATCAATTGTTGTCAGTTCTACATTGAATTTCTTTATATCAGTTAATAAACCATTTTATATACTTTTTATTTGATTAGAGAAAACTTATTTTGCTTAGCTTGACTAAACATTTGCCTTTATTTTTAAAGCCATCATTTTGAGTAATATTAGACAATACAGAGTTAAGTATTTATTAGTGTGATCTTTGTCATGTGTTTATCGATAATGAAATGTAGTCACTATTACGTACTGTAGTAGTGAATCATACAGAGTGAGAATCACTTTCTCTGATCAAAACTCAAGATATCTCCCAGTGAAGCCTAGTGATCTTCTGACTCTACAGCTCCAGTGCACTGCTTACTTGGCTTCCGATCATTAGGCACTATCACACCCAGGCATTTCTTCATTTACTTTCATTAATTCTGTTTTTCATCTAATAAGTTGATGTTTCATTTTTGTTTCCAGTATGTATTACTTTGCACTTAAAAGCATTACAGTTCATTGACATTTGTTAGACCAATTTACTAAGGCTTTAATTAGCTTCTAATCTTTCTAGTTCTGTTGGTGTTGACACTGCCAAATTGTTTAACAACAGGCAACCATTCACTACTGGGTGAACCGAGGCTACAGTTAAGGATTGGTACCCAGTCAGTCCTCCCCCATCCAGGATATAAACCCATGCCAAAGCACTCACAAAGCGCCGGGCAAGTGTTTTTACCTCTGTGCCACGGCGACAGAAAATTTGTTATCTATTTAGTGTCATCGGCAAATTTAAATACTGTACAGCTTAAATAACATCTTTGTCAATTATATAAATCACTTACACAACTGGACCAAAATCCGACCTCTATGTCACTTCACTTGCAATATCAATCTAGCATGATATATTTCTATTTAGAATCACAGTATACATATCAACAGAAAAAGAGAGAGAGAGAGAGAGAGAGGCCAGAAAGTGCTGCAGTAAATGCCATGCTATCACATATGGAAATTAAAAACAAGTGTGCCTGAAGAGTCTGAATCAAAATTGCCACCACCTGAAAAAGCTCCATGATTTAAGATCTGTATATAGCTTGGAAATGGACAAATAGAGTCATAAGCTGCCACAGATTATGCAAAATTATGAATGTGACCCAAGTACACCTTCGGCTAAAGTGGAAGGCCTCTAACACACACACCATGTGCAGGACTAAGTAGTATAAAGATTGTTTCCTCATCAACAGGCCCTGCAGTGGGAGAACAAGTCTCTTGCACTGCCCTGAAAAGGTGACTCAAGAGCAGTCAAATTTGTAGAGGAGGAAGCCTGAAACTCCTCAAAGCAGGTACCTCTGGTGAGAGACTAAGGAACTCAAACAGCCCCCCCCCCCCCCCCCCCCAAGGAAGACAACTCTGACCGTGGTCAAATCAAAATGGAATGCTAACGTGGATGCAATGTTGGCAATATAAACAAAATTGTAAAGCATAAATGAAAACAAAGCAATGCCTCCCTTTCAAATAGAACTAATGTTCTAAGGAGAGCCAGGCTGGCTGAGACCTCAGGTGCCCTGGAGTGCCATTTGGTGGCACTCAGATTAAGTCAAATCTGGTCATGGGCTGGACTTGGGGAGTAGTAGAACTCCCAGAACCCCGTCCAGGTACAACCCAGGTTAAGAGCATTTACCCAGGGTACCTAATTTCCTTCAAGCAGTTGCTTGTTTTGTTACATCTATGCTTCACAGTGTCAGCCAGATCCTAGTCCTGGCTTGTGATGGGTGATGGATGAGTCCTGGTGTGATTATGCAGGGCTTGGTGGCACCAGAGCTAAGCTTGTGAAGCTACAAAGTTTCTCTCCCACAGAGAAGGTTCTCTATTCTCAACTGTACACTACATTTTAGTAAACTACTATTATTATTGTATGAATAGCCTTCAATGTAAATACTATGAAGTGCTTCAATTGTACAATCTTAATTCTGTACAGTAATATAATTTCAGTAACTATTGTAGAAGTTTCACACATTTCATAAGCAGGATTGCTTATCAAAAGTTATGAAGACCAAACTTTTCATAACTATATAATATGGAAATTATGAGTCTTTATTACCTCTCTCCACTCAGACAGGAGCACTGGAGGGCCAGCATTTCCTTAAAACCGGCACTCTGGTGAATCTTTCAGAGCAGCAACTCGTTGACTGCATGGATAGTTATTTTCCAGGAGTGACTGAAGCATTTACTTATGTGCAAGAAAATGGTGGTATTAACACGGATGCTATCTATCCCAGTGGAATTCCAGTAGGTAGCATTAGCACTTACAAGATGTTAATGTGTTATACATGCATGCAAAATAACTAAATCATAATAAATACCTTGATTAAAATATATTATTATTATTATTATTAATAATAAACAGTATCTCTGATTCTTGTCTCTGCTCTGTCTAGAATGGGACCTGTCGCTACAAACCTGATGTAACTGATGCTACATGCTCTGGCTATGTGATCACCGAGGCAGGGAACGAGAGTGCCCTGGAATCGGCTGTCAGGGACATAGGACCGATCTCGGTGGAGATTGATGCCTCACATATTTCATTCCAATTTTATAGTAGTGGTAAGTATACACCTATCACATATATATAATCAGACATTGATTTTAAACAATTCATCAAACACAAACACACACACAACTAACAAAAAAAAAAAAAAAAAAAAGAGATCTGGGAGTGGTTCTGGACTGTCACCAGAGGAACATATAAAGGACATTGTGCGAGGAGGATACACTGCACTTTCCAGCTTCAGAATTGCTTTTAATTACATAGATGGTGAAATACTTAAGACCCTGTTCATGACTTTTGTGAGACCAAAATTGGAATCACCACAAAGTATGAATGTAACAAAACAAGCTAATGCAGTACTGTACTTGAAAACAAATATTCTCAGGTAACAAGGCAAATAATTGTTGCTGCAGTGTAAACACCCTAAGCTTGATGTGCCTGACCTGGTTAAGTCAGGTGCCACCTTAAGTGTTGGCAGCCTTCATCCATGAGCTGGCCAAACTGAATCATCCACCCCACAGTGAAGGGAACAGGGTGAGGGAAAATAGGTTACTAAGGGTCCTACCAGAAAAGGCCATTCGTTATATTCAAAGCTTGATTTCAGAGATGGCCCTCTCTCAGTACCTTTTTGAGTTAACTCAAAATGGCGCCACAGTAGGGGGAAAACATTTCTTGAAAGGAGCAAAACAGTCAACAGAAAATTGTGGCTGGAGTTTACTCATGAAAGAAGGTGGCAGAGGAAGGGTGTTCAGGGCAAGGTCAAATGCTTAATCTCAAGTGCAGAAAAGTTGAGGAACTTCCAGGCAGAGCCAAGATCAACACCCAGGTGGACCACTCAGAACAGGCCCAAAAAATATACAAGTCAAGCAGCCAGGAAATGCTGAGCAAGGGAGTGATGGCCAGAACCAAAATGGCCAGAGGATCACCAGGAACTAATAGGCAGGAGATCTGGCCACAGGAATCCTAAATCCAGAGCCTATAGAACTGGGAACTTGGCACCATGCCAGAAGACACCAGAGGAACTCTTGACCACCGGGTCCACAGGCAAAGTGATGCCACTAACACAGCCAAGGCAGTGGGACGGCTGCCATCACTCGGGTAGCCAATGCAAACCAATCCAGCAAATGCATGACATTCTGCCCAGAATCACTGGGTACCAGTCCCAGGAAGCTCCTGGAACCCAGCCAAGGAACAATCTAATACACATTCCAGAAATATCTGGACACCCTAGCTTGAAGCATCTGGAATCATAGCCTGAGACAGACTGGTCACACAACCCAGGCAGTGCCAGACACATGACCCAGTCATTTCTGGGAATATAGCTTGGTTAGCTCAGAACATATGGCTCGGTCATTTAAAGGCACTCAGCATGGTGCAGGGAGCCAGTCAGCCGAGCGAACAGCATGCTGGACTTGTGATCCTGGGGTCCTGGGTTTGATCCCAGGCGCCGGCGAGAAACAATGGGCAGAGTTTCTTTCACCCTATGCCCCTGTTACCTAGCAGTAAAATAGGTACCTGGATGTTAGTCAGCTGTCACGAGCTGCTTCCTGGGGGTGGAGGCCTGGTCGAGGACCGGGCCGTGGGGACACTAAAGCCCTGAAATCATCTCAAGATAATCTCAAGATGGTGGTGGTCAAGTACATCAGGGTTAGGTTTTTTTTACATTGCAGCAATGATTGTTTCCTTGTTACCAGTGGGTACTAAGCAGTGATTTATTTTGTTGCACTTATACTTTTTGGCAAGTTATTTCTTGGTTTAGGTTAATCTTTGAAACTTCTAGCACCCCTTGCCCTGTAGAGGGAGCCAGATTCTAGTCCTGGCTCCCAATTAGCGAGGGTGGGTCTTAGAGGTCTGGTGCATCTCCCTAAGACTTGAATGGACCAGCACTTAGTTCAAGAGACTACTAGTGGGAAAACCTTATAGAAAAATTAAAAACAAATCATAATATTAAATATCAATAAGAATGCTTGTAGAATGCTTAATATCAGTAGCAATATTATAGAATGCTAAACCTCAATAGGAGTGCATATAGAATCACATACAGTATCATATTTTGAAAGGTATGCTTGTACCATAGGTGTGTATTATGAACCTGCCTGCTCACCGTCACTCTTGGACCATGCAATGCTGATTGTGGGTTATGGTACTGTAAGTGGGGAAGACTACTGGATTGTCAAGAACTCTTGGGGCACCGGCTGGGGTGAGAGTGGCTACATCAACATGGCTCGCAACAGGGATAACAACTGTGGTATCGCCAGCGATGCTTCCTACCCACTTCCCTAGAGTACAGGACGATGCCCCATAACAAGGCCTGATGAAGCTCAAATTGAGCACAACATTGCCAAAATAAAGACTTTCTTAAATGGTTTTCTCTCCACATACCATTAACTTTATAAGACTGCTTTGAATATTATTGTTTCAAAAACATTTCCTAAGCTCATCTCAAGGTAAGCTTATTTACCTGGAGAATACCATAACTACTCAATACGAATAATATATAATCGAGACACTGGTAAATGTCCTCTTAGATGTCTGTAAAGTAAAATGTCTTTATTCAAGGAAAGTATATTAACTATTTAATATTATTTATGCCACCCACCTGAATGTACCAGCTGATAGTCGATATGATTTGGAATTAAAATCCAGGGAATTCTAGCATCTAATTCTCTCTTGGCATGGCCTGGCAAAGATACAGTATTTAGGAGAGATTCCCACTGGAATTTACACTGTCTTGGGAAGAACAGGATATTGGCCAACAGAGCAACTGTGTGACCAATGCTCAGAAACACCAAAATATCAGTTTCTCTTAATTTTAGGTCTACTTCAATCAAACAAATCTTTTCACAAGAAAAAAAAAAGAGACATCTCATATTTAAAACTGTTTTTGTTTCTTTAGGCATACCTCTAACTAAACTGTAAAAAATAAAAGAACTTACACAACAAATTATATGCTGAATAGTCTCCTGATCCAGGTAACAAGGGATGGACGATTTGGTATTGTGTTTCATGAGATGTACCCAAGTGAATCCATCTGCCACGTACATATGTAGTCTGTGAAGCTTCTGCAATTGCAGAAACTGTATCTATACTGCAAGGGTCTGTATCCATACTGCAAGAGATGAGACATTACTGCAAGGATTATTTTATAATGATGGTGGTGGTAAAATAATTATATTGAATTTTACAAAATTCTAAGCATTTATCTCATGCACATGTTTCTACAACTATTGCTAACTTGCATTTATGAACTACAGTGAAGGTTAACAATTATGTCTATGTTTTATTGACAAAATAAACTTCGATGTGATTGTATACTTCATATTCATTGTTAATTTCCCACTTTCATGGAAAGGAAGCATTTGCACATAAAAAATGGGAAGGGTATTAGCAGAAAAATGATTAAAGGGATAGTGATGCCTACCCTCCTATATTACAATACTACCAGTATAATACTTTCTACATCTGACAGTGTTGCAAAGAACTAACACTTTCACGCCAGAAAATTTCAACGATACTGTTTCAAGTATTTCATAGACTGTATTAAGAATTTTCTGTTTCAATTTAGACATTTGTGATATATTTTACAAATTCATCTTTTTGAGATCAGCGTACAGTACAGTATATATGATCTGTTGAAGTTGGCCGAGATTATTTGCAGTTTTATAATTTGCCTAAATACAGTGTATAAAAAAAAGCAGTAACTAAACAATAAATTAATTTCAAATTAAGATATAACACACTTTATATGCATATTGGATGAATGGGTGTGGCAGACTGATGAAGAGAATGTATTCATGTGAATCTGAGGGTAATAGGAGAAGAATGTCAGGAAGAATGTGAACAGACATGACGAGTGTGTGAGGACTGAGAATAGATTATGAATAACACACACAGTACGGTCAGAGTATGGACAACTCAAACAGAGTATTGAACACCTGATCTTTAGAAGAGATCTTTGCCGCTGTGCAAAAATTCTGGATTATTGTGATGCTTTTTTATCTATGATGCTGTATTGTGTGAATGATAAAATGAATTATCTCTTAAAGAGTAAACAGAATAGCAATGGGAAACAGTAAAGATGGATGCTATGATAGGGAGATTACCACAGTGACTAAAACCAGGTAAGATGGTTCCAAATCTGATGCCCGCATCAGGTTTAGAACTGTTAGTAAAACATCACTGGGAGTGTTGCCCTTAGTACCAGCTAAGTACCTGCAATATGCTATCACAGGCAAAATCCAAGGAGCAACCTCCACCCAGTTCTGGGTTAGTAGTTCAGTTTTGTTCCCCTCTATAAGGTTCCACATTCTCATCATCCTCTGGGTCATGATTGATGGGGCTTGCTTTAAATACTACTTAAGAACAGCGACCAAACAATTTACCTGGATCCAAAGGAGTTCACATATGCTTCTGTGCATTCACCTCAGCAGAGGCTAGTTTATCATGTTCCCCTTCTCCTTGCTTAGCCAGTGTTGTTCTTGGTTTCTAGGGAAACTAGTGGTCTGCTTCAGTCCTGGGTGGCTGCTCAACTTTGCTTGTTCCACCATTGTTGAGTTAGGATTCTTTCCCAAAATTTTAGCTATGGTATATGATCCTGGCTTTTGGGTGCATTATGTCTAGTGCTTCTTTCTTTTCCTGTTCTCTGTTGGAGAGACATTTTCTGCTCTCTAGTACCACTGACTTAGTGTCATTTTCCTGGAATTTCCATGGCAACTCTTACAGTTTTCAGTTCTCTACCACCAATACTGTGCTTTGGGTTCTCTTCCTTTTCTTTTAAGGGTGTGAGGCATTTCTCCATTGGGTTGCATGGAGGGAAGGCCAGACAACCATTGGTATTGGCCGATTGGAAGGGTACTTTTTCTTGTTCCAGCCTACCTGCTCACCACTGTAATTGGGTTGTTATTGCAGGTACCTTTTCCTGCATTTTATTTGGGATGGCCCTTTTCAGCCCTTCTCTGGATTTGTTTGAAAACAGATGGTAATTTTTCAGTTTCTTGATGGAGTTGATGGTTATCCTTTGTTCTGCCAGTAAGTTCTACCAACCTCCTTTCTGCTGGTGACCACATGGACTACAGGTTGGCTCCTTAGAGCACCTGGTTTACTTTGGGTTTCTATATTTTCTTAAAATTCTACTTTCTTGTTTTTGTGTACACACATATTCTCGGTTTTCAGTGTTATATAGTTGTTCTCGACAGGTATTTTTCTACAAATAAAAATATTCAACAACATTTATTTTTCAACAAGCAATAAATTTAAGTGTCCTTTTTTAGCAACCTACCTATTTGAATTTTCTCAAGCCCAACATACAAGGGAAAGAAATATTTTATAAAGTTCCTTTACAATACAATGTAAAGCATAAATATATGACACTAATAAGTCATCTTTAACCTCCAGAATTCTTGCCTAAAAATTCCTGTTAGGTACCCTTAACTTCCTTATTCTGACATGGCATTAAGGATCCATTCTCACTCAATTCTAATCAGCAGCACAAGATATCTTTAAGCCCAGACAGTATACTGTTACACCACTGATAATGTACTATAAAAGTGCCCCAAACCATATTGTAAACAAATATATTTCCCTTTCACAGTTTGCTCCTTATGCCTACATGAGTATTTCAACATATATTTTCTTCCTCTAAAGTATAGCTTGCAATTATTCAAGGGTTTTGCATACAGTACTTATAAACATTGACATAAAAACATTTTTCTTCTCTAGGATGTACACCAAATTATGCTTAATGTGGCAATACTGCCTACATCCCTGTGTGTTGCACTATACAGCTTCTTAAAAAAAAAAAGGAAAGAATACCTTCTGGCTGGCTTCACTTCTGTGATGGGAAAAATATAGCGAGTAAGCTGACGTATGTTCCCTCGAATAACACCCTTCAGCTGAGCCTCACAGATGGCCAGTTGTTCTTTCTTGTCTCGAATCTACAAATAAAGACACAAATTTAGGGTCATTTCGTTTCAAATTATATCTTTGAATACCATGGAAAATCATTAAAAATGTATAATTATTATTCTATAATAGCACAAATTATAAACCCTTGACATGTAGCTGTCATCAAAGGTGCCACTCTGTCAAAGAAAAAACCCAGCAATGAATGTAATGAAATGCCTCTTTCTGGGTGAACTCTGGTGGCTCCCTGAAGCTGAGATGCCTCACAACTACTAGATTGCATCAGCCATGAAGTTCTGTTTGGCCTACTGACGACCAGTGCTAGAACCTTGCCCCCTTCACATAAAAAGTGCACATGAAGGAGGTGACAATCAATCACCTCTCTGGAAAAGCATACAGGAAGTTAGTGAACCAATACAAACCGCTGCTGGGTTCAAAAAGACTGAAACCTCAAAATCCGTCAAACAAACTCCCCAATGATGTAAAACGATTGAATATCTCGAAACAAGTGTGAATTTGTTTGCCCCACCACTCCCACTAGTTCGGGGAGGAAGGGGGGATAATTGCGACTCACGCTGACCAGCGGTAAAGTCATCAATTCTGGAGTAGTTTGCACACAGGTGCGCAAACCCTCCAATCAACTACCTAGAAGGGAGGGGTATGGGATCAGGGAGCCAGGAAAGAGGTGTTTCATTACATTCTGGGTCCTGGGTTCGATCCCAGGCACCGGCGAGAAACAATGGGCAGAGTTTCTTTCACCCTATGCCCCTGTTACCTAGCAGTAAAATAAGTACCTGGGTGTTAGTCAGCTGTCACGGGCTGCTTCCTGGGGGTGGAGGCCTGGTCGAGGACCGGGTCGCGGGGACACTAAAAAGCCCCAAAATCATCTCAAGATAACCTCAAGATAGGTCAGAACACAAACCCTAAAACAAGCGAAGACAAGTCACCATGACCAGAGCCAACCTGGTGAAAACATTGAGCCATATTAAAGCCAAATGGAAGAACCAAAAAGTGTTAATCCTGATATCCCTCAACAAAACCTAGCCAAGCCATGAACCCCAGGTAAATAGGAATGAGCCAGTACATATCCCTGAGGTCCAAGGAAATATTCCAGGAACTCCCTTCCAATATAAGGCAAACTTGGACAAAAATGGTCATATGAAACGTGTGGCATTGGATGAACTTGGTTAACCCCAACAGTTCGAGGATGAACTGGAGATCTGCTGAATCCTGTTTCGGAACCAGGAAGAGACGAGACATCCACCGAATAGATGTGTCGTTTCGACCACACTGGAAGTAACCCAATGCAGGCAAGGGGAGGACATCTGCCCCAAACACCCCAACCCCTGGAAAGAGGGAGGGACCATTCAACTCCACTGCAAGCTATGCGAAACTACCTGAAAGGCCCCCCAAATCATGGAACCAGAAACTGGAAAACTGGGTGAGCGGCCTCCTGACCGCCCTGCCACACTGAATCACAACAGGCTGGAGCCCTCTGCAAAGCACGAGCATGGTCCCAATCAGCAAAAGATGAACCAGTAATGGGAGGTGCATGCGAATCCTGGAATCTAAATCCTAAACCTAAATCCTAAACCTGGAATCTAGGTTTAACTAAATATTATCTAGCTACCAGCAACAATGGGTTAATCCTGTGGGAAAAAGAGGTTTAGGTTTATGTCACTAAGATTTATGTTCCTGGGAAGGTATTCTGAATGTAAATAGAGAGATTATGGTAATAGGCTGTAAACTTAATAATTATAAAATAACTTTTAGAATGTTTCCTAACATTTTAATACCAGTGTCCAACTTCATGTATACTATGCAAGACACAAAAGTATCCCACTATTATAACACACAACTGGTTTTGGAAGCAAGTTTCTAGTGAACTGCAACTGAAAACATACCTTTTCCTGGTACTGATGTAAAATTTGTTTCACCTTAGAGAGCCTTTGTAGGAAGAGTGGCAGCTGCTTATTCCGTGCTGCATTGATGTTAAATACCTCTGCATTCTGTGTCTTAACTGCAACATTAATCATTAGCATTAACTGGACAGGTATATGAATAATGAATAATAGAATTATAAAGATGGCACTACTATTTATTTACTGTACTAGATTATCATTTTCAGTAAATTATAATTTTTACAATAAAGAGGCATTTATATTACAAAAGTGGGTTACCCACTGCAGTATTTATTAAAAAGAAAATTAAGTTATTTGATCATTAGATATTGAATTTTACACTAATTGAAAGAATAAAATACCCTCAATACTTGGTACAGTAAAAATAAAAGATACCTGCTGGTTGAATGAAACAATACAATACCATGTGTTACTATAGTGTAGTAGAATACTGTATCTACAGCACAACCTAGCTGTTCACACGTGATAAACTGTAATCAGAAGACACCCTTAAATGGTAAAGTTGTAAATGCTGAAACTAAGGTCATATTGGATAAATGGGGATAGGCTTCAGGCATAAAAATAATACAGAGAATCAGCCACAATAACGTGACTAAAAACAAATAACAAAACTCACACATACGAAATAAAAGGAAAGTGATGAAGTATTAGTCCATCCTGGACCCCAATGAAATCAAAATTGAGAAATAAAGGAAAGGAGGCCATTAAAAGACAAGACTTGAGGTTACAAAAAATAATAAAGCAAATGAGATGTCAATTCTGATTGGTATTGGTATTACTGATTGGTATTTCTCAATTCTGATTGGTATTGTATTGTTTTCTGCAAATGATAATTAGATGCAGAAAATCTGCAGCAGCCTGGTTGATGGGTATGCTTTAAAGTTTAAGAGATTTAAATCCCTTACCAAGCAGCCTCAAACAAAATTTATATCCTCTAACATTAAGTTACTTTAGTTACTTTATGATTACCTTCAGTTGTGTTGTTTTTGGTGGCATCGATAACTAGACGCAGTAATTCCACCCGATCCTTTACCTCTTCTATCTTCGCTTTCTGCCAAGCCAAGGATTATTATTATAAGACATTTTACAAATTATCCATAATAGTTACCAATAAAAAAAACATATACCTTCCAGGCTTTAATAATCATTTAATACATATGATTTAATGGCTTCTAATTTGTAGAATTTTGTATTAAATTAAAGATTATGGTAAGATTACAAATTAAAGAAATAATAGACATAGAAACTAGCAACTGAGTCATTCTCAATTCATTTGATTCCCTGTCATATGTGATGAGGAATAACTATTAACACCTACTAGAGTATTTAGCTGCTAGTTTTAGTGGTATTTAACTGTACCTTCCAATAAACACGTAAATAAATAAATAATAATAATTATAATACTGGAGGATAATAATAATACTGTAATAATAATAATAATACAAGGTAATTATAATACAGTACTGGGTAATAATAATAATAATAATAATAATAATAATAATAATAATAATAAGAAGAATAATAATCAGAGAGCAATCACACTAAGGTGATGTATCAATGGTTACATCATTGATTATTAACCAGTGATACATCACATTAGTGTGATTGCTCTCTGTGTGTATTGAAGAGGAGCATCAGAGGTAGAACATTCCTAGACAGAGCCAGAGTGCATGGGGGGGATTGTGTGAAACCCTTGTTCTGGCTTCAGTGGATGCCTCAGGAATCCTGGAGGGTTCAGTAGAACTCCAGGTTGCAATCCTTTTGACCATCCCATTTCTTAGTTCTAGGGCGTGTGCTTGGGAATACTCACCATATAGGTTCGAATCCTGATCATGTCTTCTATGGATTTTCTCAATAATACTAATAATAATAATAATAATAAAAATAATATTAATAATAATTATTATTATTATTATTATTATTATTATTATTATTAGATCCCAGTAGAACAGTTGGGTTCGTTCTAAACTCACAATAGAGAATTCTGGGTTTGAATACCAGGTGGGACAGATATGGTTGAGCGCATTTCCTATCACTTAATGCACCTGTTCACCTAGCAGCAAATAAGTACCCAGGAGTTAGTCAGCTTATTGTGGGGTTGCATTCTCGAGGTGGGTGGGTCAGTAATTAGACCTTGGGGTTTGACCTCGATATCAGTCTAATGTATAAATACATCCTGGCTGCCTGTCCCCTTACATAATGAATTAATAATGATAATAATAACTGAGGAAATCATGCTGAGCTTGAGAAGCCGGAAGGTGATACCGATGCAAATTTGATACATCAAATTTGTGGAGGTAAATTGAAATTGTGGGTGACAAGTCCTTACTCTCAACATGTGGTCCAGCAGCCAAGAAGAGCAGGAGTGTCCTTCACTAAACCTGTGTGCCAGAAGTACCAGTATGTTGAGCACACTGTATGTACAGGGTATTTGTAAGCTTAATTATTAACACGTTTTTTCAGATTTTACTTTCCAAATTTGGAGAAAGAAACCAACAATGATTCGGACAATTAACAAACATTACTAATTCCTGCAATAAGGTAAATCTAGGAATCGTACACAAAACATCTATACTAATGAGTTAACCTTGATCACTAAAGGGAGACCTGAGAGCAAGCACAAGACCATCAGGGAAAGCATGCACAAAATATAATGCAGTAACTGAATAAAGTAGAGTATACGTAGGAGAAACATTTAGAGCTGCAGGTGTCAGGATTTACAAAGGATAGTCTGTGTGCAACACAATCTATCCTTACATTGTATACAGGAGCAACACCTGAGGAATTTTAAGCATGTTCAACTCATCAACAATGAAGAAATATAATATTATAAAGAAGTTCATAATCTACACTCGCCAAACACTACAACATTAAACATAATCGGAGAAGTATCACTATTGTATTATCGTTTGTAAAACTGTTACTTTGTAAAAATATATTGCGGAAGGGCCTGACAGCTGAGTGGAGAGCACTTCGGATTCGTAGTCCTGAAGTTCCGGATTTGATCCCCGGTGGAGGCGGAAACAAAAAGGCAGTTTCTTTCACCCTGATGCGCCTGTTCACCTAGCAGTAAATAGGTACCTTGGAGTTAGACAGCTGCTACGGGCTACTTCCTGGGGGTGTGTAACAAAAAGGAGGCCTAGTAGAGGACCGGGCCGCAGAGACACTAAGCCCCGAAATCATCTCAAGATAAGGCTTAATCCCTCAACCCATCTTCATCTCATTTTCTAAGCAGCCAGCCCTGCGTATCTAATTCTGATAAAGCCTGACAAGCTATATTTACAGTATATATAAACTGTAAACCACAATATCATGGCTAATAACATTTCATTCACTTGGCCTTCTGTGGTTGATTGTTCAATAAACCCCTGAACTATATGTTTAACACATCTCTAACCCTGTCCATGGAGGACAGAAGAAAATGTATATATGCTGATTAGCATTATAAATGTGTGGCCACGTCTGTGGTAGAAAATAATAATAATAAAAAAAAACTTGGACCATCGTGACCTTGAACTGCAGACCACAAAGGCAGCAGCCAGCAGTTCTTGCAACTAAGCCATGAGCACCAGGAAAAGGAAGGAAGGATCCCAATGACACCCCTACTATTAGAAGCCTGAATTATCTAGACACATTATTGCATACATGATGTAAGGGAAGCCGTGCCACGGGATATGCGTCACCTTCTTACAGTACTACTGTACTGTCAAGTGTCAACGTTTCAGACATCCGGAGTGAGTCGGCACCTCGATCTCTCTTTTGATAACACGAGTTTTCTTTGTGTCCCGCCCACAAGATACAATATATGTAAACAATATGTAAAACAATATGATGTTATTTCATATATACAAATTTTCACGAGTGGTGTCTCCTTGAGAGGATGTGTGCCATCCAGCACATCATGATTTAATCCATCTCTCCATAAAATTTATAAGTAAAAGGACAATGATAAAACAAAAATATAGAGAGAATAAACTGTATCATGGATGGCAAAATATAGAACGAATACAAAACCAGGAAGTTACAAATATTTCGTTACAAGCAGCGATACATGGTGTTAGCTGATACATTGTGACCAAGGAGATGGGCGGAGAGGCATGATGACCAAAGAGATGGATTACGCATCACAACTTCAACCTGTCCTCTCTGCACCTCATTTGACGCGAATACGCAAAACTTGACAAGTACAAACGCCTGTCCGGTGGATTCTGTCTACCCAGAATGAACGTAGGATATCCACATTTCTACCGAGAATTATACCAGAATTTCGTGCTTGCTATGACATGAGGAAAACAATGTCCAATATATAGTAAATTAATCAATTAACAAACGCACTTAATCGGTACAATTTCACTCGTTGTCTCCTATCCCAAATTTGTTAATTGTGGTGTACACACTGTAAGCTGCCTTGTGGCCATCCTCGTCTACCTCATCACCATGTACCGTAGCGCTAACTACAGTAAATTAATTAGGTCACTATTCTTGTAACGTTATCACACATTTCAGGTAATGAAATACCAGAATAATTTATGGTAATGAAATACCATAAATTGCTAAGACAATAATATTGAAATTCGGTTCCCGAGCCCATTTTGTGCCTGATACCTTTCCCACTGCCCTCACAAGCTGGGCAGTGGGTTGTGAAGTTGACAATTTAACTCTCCGAAGTTCATTTTACAATTTTAATGGACCTGGCGCATTTCAAACCGATACAACTTGGCATCCTCAGAGGCTGAGGGAAAGTGAATTCAAAATGACAAATACAGCAACATATTTTCCACGAGTGTAACTATGAGATCATGCTTTCATAAAATGAAAGTAGCTTTTTTTTTTAATTTTAGTCTTGAGAGGCATAACGTCTACATATACGTTCTGTGCCTCTCAGGATAGAAGCACAGAGAAGATTTATAGCATTTAGATAGATAATATTCCTAGAGGTGATTAGTCAATCCTCTCGTGTGTAAATTCACTACAATAAAGGCTCACCATAGCCCGCGCTACTTGGAACTTTTTGTTCCGACTCCGAGTAGCTGAATCTAAAACAACAACACACAAGTCTCATCTGGGGAGGTTACCTACCTTGTGGTTACCGTGTGATGGTTTCGGGTCTTAGCGTCCCCGCGGCCCGGTCATCGACCAGGCCTCCTCGTTGCTGGACTGGTCAACCAGGCTGTTGGACGCGGCTGCTCGCAGCCTGACGTATGAATCACGTCCTGGTTGATCAGATATCCTTTAGGTGTGTTTATTGAGTTCTCTCTTGAACACTGAGGGGGTTGGCCAGTTATGTCCCTTATAACACAACATGGACAACCATGTTGTCCAGGGTTATGTGATCCAAACCATGTTGCTGTGATTCCATGAACAAATTGACAAGGGCCGTGACGAGGGTTTGAACCTACGTCCGAGAGGATCCCAGACGCTGCCTTAATCAACGGAGCTACAACATGGTAAAAGAATTGCAACCGGGAAATCATCCTAATTTACCAACGGATCCTGCATTGTTCATTTGATGTATCACGCTATTGTGATTTGTGTGTGTGATTCCATGTATTTTGTAATCTTACCTCCTAGCACTCTTTCAAAGATTTTTATGATGTGTGAGTGCTATCGGTCTGTAATTGGGAGTAGAAGAACTCTCGGGTACAGTCTGCCTTCTCGTGTGTGAGACAAAATAGAGAAGGTAGGGCAGGGTTTAGCAGCACCAAACTCACCAGCAGCAAGTGTTGGGTCTTTTCCTGATATAACCGCTCCACCTCCTTCTCTTTCACCTGTAGGTTTCGTCGTAGCTCTAAGTAACGCACCTTCTGCTCTGCGTACCTGAAAACATGTCAAACAATTATACATTAGTCGTGTCAGGAGGGTAATTTGTCTTGGTATGAAATGTTTAAAGCTTCCAACCACATGCAGATATGAAGTTTAGTTTTTCACGTTGACCAAACCACACACTAGACAGTGAAGGGACGATGACGTTTCGATGACATGGCCCAATTCTACTGACCATATTTTTTGTTCATACCAAAAAATATAATTTCGAGCTAAATTTACCAATATCATATCAATGATATTGGTGATATCTCCTACAAACATGACATTTGACCTAGCCGCACATATACACACCTGGATATCCAGACATTACAAATTTCCTTCATTAAATATTATATGCGGGTTTAATTGAGCACTATAAGGTTAATAATGGTTATTTTTAGTGATGGATATTTTATTAAGAAATCGCAAATTTTAAATTATAAAATAGTATATGACGGTACGATCTCGACTCGAATCTAAATCCATTCCTTGGATCCATTCCCTCCCTTGCACCCAGTCTGCCAGCGCCTTCAGAGGTGACGATACAACTAAGGACTAGTATCAATTACCTTTCCCGTAACTGGTCGGGGGGGGGGGGGGGAGACTATTGGCGTGCAGGCGATGAGTCACAATAACGTGGCTAAAGTATGTTGACCAGACCACACACTAGAAGGTGAAGGGACGACGACGTTTCGGTCCGTCCTGGACCATTCTCAGGTCGATTGACTTTTGGCGTGATTGGATTTAGATGATCAACCTACACTCACTTCATATCCAGTGAGTGTAGGATTGTGGTTGTTGTAAGAAGACTGGGAGCAGAGATGTGGACAAGATGACCTAAGCGTCTGGCGGCTAGCGGGAAAGGCAGCCCAAAACGTATTCTTGTTTATAGTTGACTTGAAGGATACATGAACGCAGACTTAGTGATGGCCCACATCATGACTTTGTTTAAAGTTTATTTCAGCTGTGCCAGGTATTCTAAGCCGAAATCAAACTAAGATGAAGTACGTCGACTGACGCAAAATTTGATCATCAAGACAGAAGTAGTCCCTGCTGCATGGAGGGTGGCCAACATGGTCCTAATATTAAAAAAGGGAGGTACATATCCATTGCTATGAACTTCTGTCCAATTAACCTGCTGTTGATCGTGGTTAAGTGCCTTGAAGTTATGATTGTGAATTTAATAAGGTTCACACAATTACACATACAGCCCGATAAAGAGGTTTCATCGTGGTTTCTTATGAGGACGCTTTTGTCTAATAAATCTGCTATCCTTCTGCACAACCATATTTGAGGCAGTCTACCACCATATAAATTATTATGACTATCTTTGACACTGTACTGCTTGAGAGGCTTATCATGAAGGTTGAGGCCCACGGCATTTGAGGGATTGTTCTCAACTGAAACAGACTCTGGTTAAAAACAAGGAAGTAGATAGCATCAACAAAGTGAAGCCGGAGTGGAGATATCTCATTGTGTTGTGTCCCAAATATGTGTATTAGAGTCTTTATTGTTCATAATACATCTCAACGGCCTAGATGTTGGAGTAAACAACAAATGGGTGCACGACACACAAGAGGGGCCAATAATAAACACGACAAACTCCTAAAATCATAAACTTGGGAAATGATAAAGGTAAATAAAATTGCGAGAGGTATTTGGGATCGTGACTGTTAGTGACCCGAGACTTTGCAACACTGCCTTAATGAGTATAAAGTGAGATGGATGCTTGGGGTTTATACCTAAAAGTTTTAGCCATAAACGCATAAACATTGCCTTCCAATTATATTTGGTCCTGGTGAGGCCTCATTAGGACTGTGCCATCTAATTGGCGTTTCCGCATTACAGACTGGATATCAATTCCATCGAGAAAATCAAGCGTAGTATGACCAGATTGCCTGGTATTCGTGACCTCCCATACACGGAGAGGTTGAGGTAGTTGGGCCTTTAGAGAGTAAGTGTGTAGGGTCTTGATCGAAGTTTTCATGTGAATAAGAGGTATAATTTTTGTTATTTTGACATGGACAAGGTCTTGAAACTATCAGACTAGATCCTAACCGGTAACAATGGCTTAAGCTGGCAAAGTTCTGCTTCAAAAAGAACGTGGGGAAAGTAAGTACCGGTGGAAACGAATGGAATAGATGTCGCCAAACATCATTAGGCCTAAATTTGTGAATATTAAGCCTAGGAGTGCTTGTTTAAGCCAAGGTCAGGTTAGGTTCATGGTTAGGCTGTTTATTAGCTCTTAAGAACATCAATAAATACTTGAACTTTTTGGGGTACAACAGTCTATATTTTGTACAGTCCATCCATAGTAGCCTCATAGATATTACCATTTTTGGAGGACGAGTAAAATTATCATGAGGTTAAGTGGGATTGTATTAACCTATGATGGGAACTCCTTGGCGAACAGTCTTGTGTACGAAACGACCTGTATCCCTCACTACATCCGATACACGAATATTTTACAATTAACTTTTTATACGCTATTACAGAAGAAGCCGTCAATTTTTCAAATATAAAATAGAGCCAAATTTCACAAAGTAGGTACATGTTCAATATTCCCACATTACGCTGTCGTTAGGAGGGTAGAAATAGCCTATCCCTTTGAGATGTATTTTTTTTCTTGTCTCAATAAACATACTTCAACTCTGTTGTGGCAACAAGGCGCTATCAAAATAAGGAATATTGTAAACAAAGAACACGAATATTACCATAAGTCTATGTTAATATCTTATTACTATACAGGTTAAGTCACGACATCCATCTCCACAGAATTCTACTTACTTCTAGAAAACTAGATATGCATTATTTACAATGACCACTGTATGCCTAATGTGTGTCAAGACCTTGTCCCAATATATGCTATTTGCATACACACAACAGAAGACAATTCAAACAATAAAAATCTTTCCCAACTGCGTCATGGTCCTTTATTATGCACTATGAACTATTGAAGTTATGACGTCATGGCTAGTTTGTGACCCACCCTGAGTCCTGACATCATGGCCTAGTTGTTGTAGTGCACCGTGCACTACCAGAGTGAATAAAGTAACTGCAAAGTTCCAGGTACCTCATGCCAATGGGTCTGAATGGTCTGATAACTGGGCATTTGGTGATGTAGTGTGCAAGCTCATGCCCCAGTTCCTGCTCACAGAGTTTGCACCTGGAGTGCACTCATGATTGGGAGATCCGTCACCTGTAGCCACCTGCCACAGGTAACGGTAACCCAAGTCGGACTGGGTAACCCGTCACCTGTAGCCACCTGCCACAGGTAACGGTAACCCAAGTCGTGACCTGGGTAACGACTGGCCAGGCATCAACACCGCCGCCGTCTCACACCCGCGGCATAAAAACTTTCACCAAAATTACCAGGAAAGTGAAGCATATTGTCAGTGCTGTGAGCCTCCGGAGGTGCTGTTTCCTGGGCTAGGAATGATACATAATTTATTTATCCACTTACGAAACCAGTACATCTTTCATCCATCATGACGGCTTTGTTTAAAATTTTTAAACAATAATGACTATGTAGTGAAGTTTTGAAGCTCGTAAACTGTTCAATAAATGTAATCAAAGCCACCATAATTAAGGAAAAATGTACACGTTTAGAAAATGATTGTGTGAATGCTAGATGATGAATCCTGGCCCACACTCCTTAGTCATAAAATGATTCAACACTGTCAGGCCGAGACTATCCTGGTCCCTCTAAGGTCTTCGCCCTCAGAATGCAACCCACAACAGCTGTCTAACTCCCGGTAACCTATTTACTACCAGGTCAACAAAGGCGTGAGGTATGTCGGAGAACGTTGCCCAAACGTTTCGATGTGTCCGGAAATCTAAACCTGAACTATTCGCTTTTAAGTAGATTGCTCTGAGCACTGCATACGCCACTCCCTTCACGGGGCTGTAACATAT